AGCAATTTACATTGATGACTTAAATTTATAAGAAACCAGGGTTTGTTTTTTTTAAATAAAAGGTCATATGAAATGTCAGGAGAACACCTTGTAAAGTATGTAATTGTCTACCACTATGCTGAACACCTAAAACGAATACAGAATAATATTGAATGTAAGCTGTAATTGAAAAAAAAATGAAAACTTAAAAATAAATTAAAAGAATTAATAACTGTGAAAAAAATTTTATGACAGAACCTCTCATTCCTTCAGATTTTTATACTGGTTATTTAAAAATTTTCTCTCTTTTGAAAGTATTGGGGATAAAATGTCCCTCCCTTGAGCTCACTGATTCTACTCCACTCAAGTGATACGTTACTGGGCAACCGAACCCTCTCAGGTGTAACACTCCACTCCCTCTCACCCTGGTGGAAATTGCTAGTGTGTGGGTCCCGATCCTGCTCCTCTCCCTGGAGGGAGCCCACTGAGCTGCTCCCCCCACTGAACAGTGCTTCAGGGGGCCAAGTTCTACTCTAACTAGGAATAAGCTCAGTTCAGCCTGGGCAGGGCAGTCTATAGAAAAAGCTTTGTTTTCCAATCCAGCTTTAACAATAATAAAATTGATAACAGCTTGATCCGGGTATGATATTTGTGTCTATTTTGCAATTGTCTTAGAACTCTGAAAGGAGGGGCACATGATTAAGTGAAACTTTCAAAACCACACATATGTTATAATAAAGGTGGTTTTATTCTTTAGTCTCTTGTATGGTGTATGTATGTGTAAGTGAGGGGAAGGGAGAAGGATGAGAGAAAATCATATATATAAAAGCTTTTATTAACCAGGATGTTAAATAACCATTCTCTGGTTATGCTTAACTCTGTAGTTTAAAACTTAAAAAAAAAAATAAAATGAAGGAATGAATAACATTATTTCTAAGATCCTGGCTTATTCAAAAACTAAACAAAGCAAGGTATCCTATTTACCTTGATCAGAATAGCTGTAAATTCTTATTTTAAATGCTTTTGAGGATTTAATATATCTATTTTTTCTTTAAGTTATAGTTTATAAGATTTTTGGATTTTGAGTATCAGTTTCCCAGGTGGAATTTTGATCATGGCACACTTTTATTTCTATTAACTAGTTGACAGTGTGTATGTGTTATTTAGAGAAGAATGTAGAGGCTAAATTACTCAGGGTCTTGACTAGTAATAATAAAAACTAGCACTTAACACTTATTCTGTTGCAAGTTGTTTTAACATCTTTTTCTTTTCCTCTTATAACCAACCTAAGAAGAAGGTACACCATTATGACCGCTCTATATACTAGGAAGGTGAGACACATAGAGGCTGGTGGCTTTTCTAAGTTCCCAGACTTAGTGAATAACACAACTGGGACTTCAGCTTTTGCCAATTTGGCACAAAAAGTATGGTCCATGAATCAGCATCATCTGGGCGCTTGTTAGAAATGTAAAAACTCAGGCACCAACCCAGACTTACAGCATTTTAATGAAGACCCAGTGCTGGTTCCTGAACACCTTCAAGTTCAAAGAGATCTGCTGTAATTCGTTGTAGTACTCCCCTTGAGAAGGAATCTGGATATTATCCTAGGCCAGTGGAGAGTCAGGGAAAAATCTGAAGAGACTGGCGCAGTCAAGTGTGTTTGGACCAATTGTTTTACGTCAATCACTCTGGCTTCAATGTGCAGGACCCAGTAGAAGATTGCAGTTATGAAGGCGGAGAGACCAGTGAAAGGTTACTCTTAGACAAGTAAAGGAAGAAGGCAGTCCGAAATAGGGTGGTGGCAGTCATAAACGGGGGGGATAGGCGAATGGGCAAGGTAGTGCTGACAGAACTTAGAGATTCTTTGGGTATGTAATTGCGGGAGAAGAGTTAGTTCACCCCAAGTTTCTGGCTTAAGCAATTGGTTGCCTCATGGGGTCATTTATTGTGTAAGAATGTACTTGGAGGAAGTAGGGTGGAGAATAGGAGAGGGAAATAATAAATTTACTTTTAGATTAAAATGATAAAATTTGAGAAGACTGTCGGACAGCCAAATAGAGCTGTTCAGGTGGTGCTAAAGGGATGGGGCAGAGAAACCATATAAATTACTTTGGCATTTTGGAAGGGGTCCTATGGCAAATTCTTTGTCAAAATTTTTACCTGGCTTGCCTTTGATGTTCCTCCCTCCCTTCCCAATTGCATTTACTTGAGTCCAACCTGTTCTCAACAGTCCTGCTTCAAGCAGGCAGTTAGATATTCAGGCCTGCAGTTTAGAAAAGTATCTTAGCTAGAGATATTTTGGATTCATAAGCACATAGAATAGATGATAAATGAAGTGATGGAATTACCGAGAAAGAGAAAAGGCGTCTAGAATATAGGGGAGAAGAAGGGAAATCTGCTAAACAGACTGAAAATAGTGGTTTTAGATGTGGAAGGAAAACCAGGAATTTCATATCATGGAAATCCTGGGTAAATAGTGTTTCAAGGTGGGGAAACTGGAGAATAGGGTAGAATGTCTTTGAGACACCACAGAGAGACTGAGAAATGTCCGCTGGATTTAGTAATACACCAGAAATTATAACCTCAGTAAGCGCTGGGGAAAGCTTCTGAGGACTGAAGCTGGGGTGCAATAGATTGAGGAAGTACAGGATCTTCATAGCGTGTAGACAGTTCTTTCAAGAGATTCATCTACGCAGCTGGAGAATGAGGGTAACTGGAGGAGCTGAATAATAAAGAAGCTTTTCAAGATGGGAAATTTGTAACATGTTTAAATGGAAGGAGCCAATAAAGAAGGAAGGATTAGAACCTGTGATCCCTGAAGTGGAGGGTCGAAGATAGCCACCTTTAGTTTAGATCTTCCCTTTTGTGTTCCAACCCACCAGCAGGTGGGTACAGGGATTCAAGGACAGCCAGAGAAACAGGAAGGGCTGCTGCAGTCTCCCTTCCCACAGTCCGGCTCTTCAGAGGCTTCACCGCATGCGCCCCCCCCCCCCCCCCCCCCCCCACCGCCCCTCTTACATCCTAAGCCTTGCTTCTACCAAAGAAGCTGTTCTGCTACTGGAATCTTCCACTGTTCTCTCCATGACACTCTGCCCAGAGCAAGGGTGACATAAATTAAGCACCTGCTTTGAAAATTAACCCTTAAGCTTCCTCTTCAATTAAAATCCTTGCCTAAAGTTCCTGTCCTCAGGTGAAGAATGTTTAGAGACCAAGTTTTGGCGTACTTCCTCCCAAAGTCTTTTGACAACTTGGTGAACACACCAGCCCCAGGATGTCTGAAGCTGAGGTCTATGGTTTCATAGAGAGTAGTGGTTCATAATGAGGGCCTCAGAGAATACTCAAAGACAGATACATCATTGAACTATCTATTTGTAGTGGACTCTTTTTCTGAGAAGAGGGTATAATTAGATCAAGGGGATCTGTGACCGCAAAGATGTGGCAAAAGATAAATGCTTAAGCTGATCATTTTGGAGGGATGCAAAATGTTATGGCAAGCAGGGGTTCTCCTCCTCCTTCGCCGCCTCCTCCTCCTCCTCACAGCCCCTTCCAGGGTAACAAAAGGTAACAAAGGAAAATGATGACAATCCGACAGGGAAAAGACAATTATTAGAACACGGAAATGCAGGATTGTTTAACTGACATCTGACTCAGAGCTTCCCATGTGAACCCAAGTATTTGCTTTTCAATTCCAAAGACATCATGTTTTCTAGATTAAAAACATAAAGAACAAATCAAGATTTCTCCATGTTCTATAAAACCATTTCTTTTCAACATCACAGTAGAAAGTTACTAGGCTTGTCTAAGGAACCCAAATTAATCCAGCTTTACTCAAAATGTTGCTGGCAAGTATAATAAAAATAAGAGGTAAACCTGTCAGTGAGGTGATGTTACATTAAAACACAAATCTGCTTCTCTTGTTTAGGCAGAACAGTCCCCAAATTGGCAACTAATGATAACATGTGGGAATTAATAGAACGAGTGTAGAAACCAGACATCAGAGCTTTCTTTGTCCATCAGGCAGCTTGGATTACAGCTTTAGGCATATGTCATAGCAAATATGTTAAGAACTCTCTTGTACGATATGTACATTTGCAATGTTTGTGTTATATTTTATACCACATACTTTGCTAATAAAAATGCTGTAATTTCTACATGATCGTTTTATGGATGTGAAGTGACAGCTGAAATGACTTGAGGGTTTCTTATACTTTATTTATAAGAATTACACATTTTATTAATGCTTTTTTTGGTTTTTTAGTTTTCACAATCCTGAAAATAAAGGGGACAGCTGAGAAGCTGCATTTTGTTTTCAAATGGATGATAGACACCAAAGAGGGTCTCACTGAAATAGTGAAGGAGAAACCACAATGGGTGCCTGCTTTTGCTTAAGCAGTGCTAGCTTGGCTTCAAGAAACAATGCTTTAGGTACACAGAGTGTATTATATATCTGTGTGGGCCAGACACACACACAGACGTTTTAATGTAACCTTAGAACACCTCAGATAAGGAATTCTCTCTATGCTTGTCTCTGGAAAGTAGGCAGGGTTTTTTTTAAAATAGCCAGAATCTCATTTAAAATATGTAAATAGCTTCAAATTGTGCTCTGGATATATAAATCCAGCCATGAAACACCCCCAGTGATAAAGTTAGTCATTCAAACAAATTAAGTCAAATGGAACCCCGGAACCCTGCCCCCCTTTATGACAATGAAGCTATGCCACAAGGCCATTTTCAGAACTCAGGAGGCAGCTCCAAAGAACTATCTGGACACTGTTGCTTCCACATGTATATCATCAAAATGAGAAACCTGAAAAGCTCAGCATATAAAGTCTGATTAACTGTTGACTCAACTGACTTTTAAAAAGTTTCTAAGAAACTTCAAGACCTATACTCCTCTTGCCAGTATAAGTTTTCTCTTATGCAGTAGCTAGAAAGTTTATAAGAATTTTTTGTACTTAAGAAACCAAAATACCACATAAAACACATGTAAGAAACATTAAGGAAAAGAAGACAAAACTTACTTTTTCTTAAGGTTGCTCCTCCCTGTAATTTAAACAGTTGAAAGGAGGCTATGTGATGATTTTTTCCCTGCAACACATTCATAGGTCAACTCCAAAGGGATAGAATGAGCCACAAGAGCTATCTGAGGGTCCCTCCCAATTGCAGCTTTTTCAACTTAGTAGAAGAAAATAGGAGGATTAGTGGGTTTCCTCCAAGTCTTGTGACGTGCACATAGCTGACTCCTACTGGGCTGAAAAAGCATTCCTTGTCAACTTGTACTTAAAATTACAAGTAACAAGTTCTCTGCAGGACATCCTTAAAGGGCAATCCTGCCAGGATTAGTATTTGAAATATCTGGATCAGCTCCAAAAGGTTTAAAATACAAACTGTGCGTACACACTTGAGAAATTCCCATTGCTGAGGCTAAATTAAGGGCACATTTAAATTTTAAAAATTTATAAAAGGCTAATGTATTTTGTTCCTTTGATTAATGTTTTTTGTTCGTTTGTTTGTTTTGTTTTTTGGTGACTATCAGAACCCTTCTTTTAGGTTAGAAATGTCTGAAGCACAGAGCTTTTCGTCCTCACCTGTAGTGGTTGCTAGCTTGAGATGAACCCGTGGTTGTGGCCTCTGTCACTGTCTTCTTGGGAAATCTAGAAACTTGGAGCCTCGGATTTGACTGGAATAACTCACGGTTGTTACCTGCTTCCTGCACCTGCAGTGTGGACTGAGCACCCTGTTTCTGCCTGCTGCCCTGTGAGCTGGTAACGATTGTTATGTCATCTCCGTGGCTGTATGATTTCACTCAAGCACAGACCAGACTCACCTGGTTTTTTGAACACTTCAATTCAAAACCTGAAAAGTGGCCAGAGATTTCAAGTGCTGAATTTAAAGAAACGTTTGAATATTGAACTAATCCACAAAAGGAATTTTTAGTGGGTCAAATTGATTCACAAAGCAAGTGGGCTTTGCTCCTAGAGTCTTCGTTGGAAGCCATTTCTTTGGTTTGCAAGGTGGGATGAGAAAAGAAATGTTCTGCCTTAACTCCATTTAATTCTAGACCAAATTTAAGCGGTCCTTGTTCTAAGTGCTAAAGGAATGATACGTTAATATTTTCTGAGGTCAAACTCAGGTATGTACAATTTAAAAAAAAAAAAGGGGGGGGGGCTAGCGAAAGGAAAGCCAATTAACTCTGTTTTGTTATTCATCTACTTTAGTGATTAAGATATCCAGAAAATGAAAACATGCCGATTAGCTGCGACACACTGACCCAGTGAAAGGACACGAGTCACCTTGTTTCCCGGGTTCATTGACTCTTTTAAAGGCTCCCGTTTTCAGGACAATGGTTATTAAACTTTTCAACTTAGTGCATAAGTCATTTCATGGTCCTCCTCTGGTTTCTCTAGCTTCATTTTACCCCACTTCTCAGACCATTTCTTTCTCATAGTTTCAGGTTCTTCAAGTGCCTCATTTCATATTAATTCATGTCCTAGTACTTATGAATCTCCTTTCCCCCTCCCAGAAATGTCTGCTACCCCTTCCCCATCCCACCAGGCTAATCCTACTTGTGCTTCGGGAGTCGGTTCAGGTCATCTCTAGGCTGTTCAATTCCTTTCCCTGTTGCGCAAGACAGATTGACTTTCATTTCTTCTCCCATAGCATCCTCTGATTACTGATCTCCAAGCACTATGCACACATTGAGCTGTAATTGTTGACTCTTGCCATCTCTTTGAAAGCAAGGCAAATTTTTAAGATTTACATTAGTATTCCTGGTACTTAACTGTCATACAGGATTTGGGAGATTATTGAGCCAAGGGTTTAAATTCCCCCAGTCCTTTCTTCTATCACACAACATAATCTCTTCTACCCTGCTCTTTAAATACACATACAAGTAAACTTATTACTAATCACTGAAGAGAAATACAGGTCAAATAGAGGTAAGCCTGGTAAAACAAATAGTAAAACTCAACAGGAACTTACAATAGTTTAATACATATTTAGTCTTTCCTTTTTTTGTGATATAAATAGAACACTATGATTCTGAAAACCAGAAAGTCAGGGATTCTTTCTTAGTTTGGAAAGTCTCTCCTGGCTTCATGTATTCTTTTGTTTGCTTAGGGTGGCCTTCAAGGTGGAGCAATTTGTGTGAATCATGGGCCACTTGTTTCCAGATTTCTGTGGAAATATACATTGCAGAGTTTATATATGTGTTTTTGTTTCACTTCCATATACACTGGGGTGAAAATACCACAGTTATTGGAGAAAGCAAACCTTCCGTTGTTCCAACCCCCTACCCAACTCACATAAATTAGTTCTTGATAGAAACCACCCCACTTGGCCCTGGGTCCAGTGGCATTTCTGAGGAAGGAATGAACTCAGTCTACAGGCTGTACTATACTTCAGATGATTTTCGTTCTTAACCTCAACCTTGGTGCTTTTCGGTCTGAAAAAAGTACATTCCCTCAAGGGTTCAAGATGGTTCTACATTTAGGTTAAGCAGCTACTACATTTATTGTTCTAATTTAGCATTAAGATCTTTTCTAAAAACATACTGATTTTGGTAAGCCACGCCACTCTTCACTGAGTCTGATTGCAAGGTTTCCCTTGGTTCTTCAAAAACATAGGTCTAGAGATGGGAACAAATGAACATCAAGGCCTGAACACGTTATTCAAATAATTCTACTGTGTCTTTAATAGAAGAAAGTAACAGGTAAGAGTAGAAAAGCATATTTGCTGAAATCTAGCTAAATGAAAAGGTTTACTAAGGTGAAATGACTAATGAATGGCAAACTTTCAAGGAATGAAAGACACTGAGGACTATGAAACTATTTTTATGTAAGAATATAGTAAAATCCTTGAAAAATGTTCAGAATAAGAGTTAAAAATGTATATATAATACATGCATTAATTAATGTAGTAATAATTAAAATAATGGAGGCTTCAAAGTTCCATATTTAATAGAAACAATAGGCAACTTTATTTTAAACAGCATTCTTAAATTGTCTAATATTGTAAACAATAAACAATTTTTATTTTATTAACAAATTAGATTTTTACATAAAAATCAGTCATGTAATTTTATTTACAAAAACAATAAAAATTGTTATTTACTATGGAAAATAAGAACTATTTTGATAAATAAAAAATATTTAATGCATAAGAATGATTTTGTTTTTATTTGCTTATCTTTTATTTTTATTTTCACAAACTACCATCTACTTTGACAAGAACGAAGATTACTTTGGTATCTTCCAAATTAACAATAAAATTCTTTTTTTCTTTAATCCTTATGAGGACACTTTTCCATTTTTTTAATAGAGAGAGGAAGGGAGAGAGGAAGAGAGATGGAAACATCAATTGGTTGCCTCGTGTACGCCCCTGGACAGGGGTCAAATCCATATCCTAGGTATGTGCCCTGACTGGGAATCAAACCCATGACTGTTCAGTTATGAGGTAACATTCCAAGAGAGCTGAATGAGCACATAAAACTAACTGGAGTTTGAATTGATGTCATTTTTCTTCCTTTGTGCATATGAAAATACATTAATAAAAAATTGCCAATGAAAAAACATTTTGAAATTATGTTATATTCCTATCAACTTTAATAATAATTAGTCTGCAATTATATAATTCCCTTTATTCAGTATTAATACTCTGTCTAGAATTAGAGGTAGGCAGATTGATTTTTATATTCAAACATTTTAAAACAAAGAGTTTTAAATACCACAGAAGGAATTATATAAAATAGTATTTTTTAATACTTGAGATTTAATTTACTATTATATTCAAAATAAATTCCTTTTGATATATAATAAATTGTTGTTTAAAACTCAATGGGTTGAAACAATTACTTAAAGGAACTATTTAAGTTTTAATTAGTTTAATTAATTTAATTAGTTTTAACTACTAATTTTTAGGAAAAAAGAATACCTATTTTTTTAATTAAGGGTTTTGAATTTTGGGGAAAAAGAAAGGTTGCAGTGATTTAAAAGCACTTACAAACCCCCTCACGACAAAGTACAATATTAGGTGCTAGAGTGACTGGTTAAATAAATGACATTTAAGAAATGCCAACTGGGTTAAAGAAAAATATTTGCCTAAAATTTTTAGTTATTACACTGGTAAAATGTGACACACTGATAAACAGTAAATTTTATTTTTTCTCTTACTCATGTCAGCATCTTGTGTTAGAATAGAGCGCAGCAATGCACGGGCCCCTCAGGTATTCGTCTCACCTGTAAAAGCGCCCCCTACGGACTCCAGCAGCCTAAGTGCACTCCTTAGGGGAAGATGCGAGGCCCTCTCTCTGCCAGAAACAAGAGCAAGGGCTTAGCAATAAAAAAATATTTTGCAAATTTCTTTATGTTAGGTTTGAAGCATTCTCTATTAATTTTAAAATACACAATTTCATTCTGATACCAAAGGGATATTTTTCTTTTTTAAAAAACATGACTACATTTTAAGTTTCTGACTATTATTTAAGTTGAAATATAGTAACACAATAAATGAGCCCTTTCCTAGAAATGAGAGATAGCAGAAAATTTATTCATCAGTTAGTACATGGAAAGAAAATAAACCTGAAATGTATAGTATTTAGACTGTCTAGAAGAAATCTTCCATGGGGGAAAAAAATAAATCTTCCATGGAGAACTCAATTTACAAAAATTCACATTTTTATAAGATTTACATTAAAGATAACAATAGTGTTTTAACTAAATTGTATATGTGGCAGGGGCCTATTGGGGGACTGGGGATTTTGAAGTAATTATTTTTTTATAACTACTCATTAATTTTGAGGAAAGATGCTTAGTATACGGCAAAAGGAAATTAAGATCATTACTCTTCTGTCACAGATGATTTTCTGGACTTGAGAACAAGGTCTTTAATGGATAAAGAAAGTTCCTGAAGCTCTTTACGAGTAGTAGTGGTGGTATCTTCTTGTTCTTTGTCTAATTCATCACTCAGGGGATCACCTCCCTGCCCAGTCTTCTTATTTTGGTTAACCAAATGCTTTACAACCAGTCCTTGATACTTTACCAAAAGAGTGTGCTGATCCTGTGAAAAGAGAAAGGAGAAGAAAAGTTAACCAACATGATTTAAGTTTTGTGGGACAAAGTAGTATTTGTTCAACCGACATACACTGAAGGTCTTCATTTTTACAAATCACTGGCCATTTTAGGAGAGAGGAAACAAAAATACAGATTATTCTAGTAGTTGATTCAGCTAGGTTCTATCACCAAACATACACTCAAAGTCATATGGAAGTTCGAAGAAGCCAAAGTTACTTTTAGTGGAGGAGTTACTCAGAAGAATTTAAGCAGCTTAAGACTTTTTAGGAGGCCCTTGAAGGACAAGTTAAAACTTGAATAAGCTGAAGTGAAAGACTGGACATTATTATATCTTTTCTAAAAGTGTAACTTCCAAATTCAGAATATTCTTCACCATGGATCTGATAGAATCCTAAAAGATTCTTGAGCTATACTGAGTTTTTAAAATCAATCTCCTAATTCCCTGCTTGCATTTGTGGAAACAGGATGATGACATTAATATGTTTTGGTGGTCACGACTCACATCTATCCACTTAAAATATTTGGAATCTAATACTTTAAAAGTTTCAAGTGCACTGAAAATGTAATACCTCTGGAATTTTACTATTAAGAAAAGCAATGATCTGTGGGACGCATCTTCCAGGGGCGTGGAGCATGCTGTGGGTAGAGAACTGGAACAACAGGACTGAGGTGAGGTGCAGAATAAGAGCAGGGTCTTCTGTGACTTTCAGCTGCTCAGCCAGTGCTTGTCGATGCTGGAACAGGATCTGCCTAAAGAAGAACAAAAACACACAAATCCTCACCCATTTCAGTTCTTCCCTTCTGTGTTCATTTTTAACTTCTCTAGTTTGATGATCTAGTTCCATAAACATTTTCAGGGACCTTTTTAGATATGGGATACAGACACACATAACCTTAAATGGCATGGGTAAACTAATAGGCTAGAAAATGATAGAAAAAACAATATAGAAAGATACTCAAAACACTCTTTTTATTTTGAATTGTAGGAGCTCAAACAGAAGAGCATTCATTTAAATAGGTTTCCTGTGAAGAAGGTCTTGCAGCTAACAAAAAGTTCCCAGGCTTATCAACTGTGGCATTAAGGAACTCTGTTACCTTATCAAGGAGAGTCGGAGAGGGATACTGAAGTATAGTAAGACTGAATATGCCTGAAGGTGTGCAATCGTTTAGACACAACAGTTCTCTAGGCAAGATTCAGAGAGTCGAATTCCAATTTCAGATATAACACATCTAAGAGCTGATTAATAATATAGATTAATTCATTGTTACCTTTCCCTTTTTTTGTCTCCCTTTTTCACCATAATATCACATGTTTCTGCTGCAGAATCCAGACAAGAAAGAAAGTCTTCTATGCTCTGAAAAGGTATTTAACACCATGATTTTTATAAACAGTTGACTAAAGAAAGCACAACAATTGATACTATTTTATAACTGCATACTCTAGATAGAATTTTTAAAAATTTTGTCATTAAATTTGAAATTGTGACTTAGGACTTTAAAGAGGGTAAACTGCCCCCAACTTGGTCTCCTCCTTTACCTCCTAAAAAGATAGCTGGGTGCAGAATACTAGTTTTAGACTTAGCTTAAAATTATTCCAATAAAAATCTACTCAAAGGTCACAAATTTTAGCTCCAATATATATCTAAATAAAATCAAACTTTACTTACCTTTTCATTCAAGGAGCTATGGAGTTTTGTGAGAGCTACTTTAGTTTCTTCTGATAATTTACTTAAAATTTTTTTTCTTACCTATGGGGAAAAAATTCTTTAGGTATTGTGATTTTGAGAGATGTTAGATATAAGATCAAACAAAATGAAACACAAAAAAACATTTATTGCTATAACATATGTTGAATGGAATTGATCTTCGTTCTTGAATTTTATATCTCAAAACTAGGAACAATGATATGCTGAAAACCTTCTCAAATCAGAGAACTAGCAATCGCCTGTCAGCCAAAGAGAACAGACGCAGCCCTACTCTTCTCATCTGCCAGCAGTAAAAGAGGAAGATGAGAGAGAAAGAAAGAGACAGAGAAACAGAGAGAGAGAGAGAGAGAGAGGGAGGGAGGGAGAGAGGGAGGGAGGGAGAGCTGAGGCGGGGTGGGGGAATCGAGAACAAGAGTTCTCTTAGGGACTAATTCTCCTCAGAATTAGTATAAATATTGAAATGAGATAGTGTGACTAAAAGAAAATGGCTGCAAAGCTAAGGAATCTGGCTTGAACATTAAGGGACCTGCAACTCAGCAGGAAAATGGAATGTGACTAACCAATAACTAGGAAAAAAATAAAGCTGTTGGTTCCCGGGTAATTAAGCATCATTACTTTTAACAGACTGGTTATATTACCAATACTGCTAGCAATTGTATATACATTGTACTAAACTTGACCTAAAAATCTTATTGATTTGTTTCCTAAAAACTTTTTTCTCTCTTTTTGTTTTAGACTATTTCAGATATGAGAAAATAAAATATGCTCAGATATCACAACAAAACACATCAAGACTGGCAAGGAAATCAAGACGTACTTCACTTGTAATGGCTGCAGGATCATCGACTGCCATCATTAAATCCGAAGCTAAGAAGTTGAAAATGAGATTAGTGACATCAGTACAAACTGTCTTTAGCAAGTGTTTGGTAAGAGCAGTCTGTGTATCATCTGAAAAATAAAGGTGCTTTATTAAAGTGAAGGTCCAAGAAAAACTATGAGAATTAATAAATGAAGAAAACAGTACTAAGTATACCTGTAAAGAACTTGATCCCTTTTTCAAATAATCGAATATTATTGTATAGATTTGAAACCTCTTCTTGCAAGTCCTTGATTGTGCGCTTTCTGCCAGTTCCAGAGGCAGAAGTTGTTGAAGACATGAATACTGAACGTACCACCTCGAGGTAAATTTTATTAAGAGGTCTGTGAACAAAATAAACATATTTACTCTATTAAAACATACTGGGTTTACACAGGTGAAAAATTTTGATTCTATGGAAATAAGTTTTATAAAAACATCTCTCTTCTTTTAAACAAATGAGATTAATTTGGAGAACAGGTTTCAAGAACCTGTCCTCCATCCCAGAAGTTGTAACTTAAGTGGATTATTTTTCTCAATTTTAAAGTATTCAGTTATTGTGCTAAAGACAACAAAAACAACAAAAGCTTCAATTCAAATTAAATTCAGATCATCTTTTGAAATTCAATTTGGAGAACAGTACATTCTAAATCTGTTCCCCATTCTGGATTTGTAAAGTACTATAAAACATAATGCATTAAAAAAATCTTTTTGTGTTCAACTCAGGAAAGATTAATTGAAGAAGTAATGGCAAATAATTAGTAACTATTTCAGCTTTTTACATATAAAAATGACTATTTAATGAATTCACCTCACGAAAAAGTTAGATTTCTAAATTCAAAAACTTAGATGCCTTTACACAATGAAGCTACTAATTGGAGAAAAGACCACAATAGCTAGTAATGGTCAAGTAAAACACAATTTCTGTGTAAAAATAAATTTAGCCTGGCTCATTTCAAATTAGTGCTAAATTTATTCTCTTTGGAGACAGTTTGCTACTTTATTTTCTCCCTAAAGGTGCATTGTGTGCTTTCTGCTAAATCTAGATAGAAAATGATCCTTTCTCCTTTTCGGATGTTATGTAAGAGACAAGCCAGTGATTAGTGCTTGTGGTTTACTTGCACCTAGAATTGTAAGACAGGTGAATGGTGAACGAGGACACCCCCACACTCCTGCCTTTTATTCCTCATACTGCCTTGCCCAAAGCATTTAAATGTTTGTTGAACTGCCTCTGTAGGCAAACAAAGTCTGGAATTTGGCGACTAGAATAAATTCTAAGCTTTGGAAAAAAACACTAAAATATATGTTTTCTATCATCTTGGTGAAAATTTTATTTAGTAACTCACTGAATTTCTATCATCAACCAGAAAAAAAACATGTTATATACTTGCTTTATTAAGTATTCAGCTAGTTCAGAAATAAACTCCTCTGGGGCATCTTGTACACGTTTTCTTAAAAAGTCTTCAATCTCATCCTGGAACATAAAAGTAATCTCTGGCTTCTTCTTTCCTATAATAGTAATGAGCAATGAGGAAGAAAACAAGAATAAAACAAATGAGCAATAACATAAAGGAAATTATTTTACATTAACGTATTTAATAAGATGGTCATCCATTCACTGCCTATCACAAAAACTGTGATAGTAATTTCTGACACTAAAGTTGCCCATATCAAATAATAACCTACAAAAATAATTTTTAAAATAGGGTATATAGCAGCATTTTTTGAGTTATATTTTTCTAACTTCGTTTAATGACTATTTTCTACAAGTCAATCAAAAAGTAATTGATCATTTTCTCTCATCTAACATGGATGAGAATCTTTTAGGAACGAATACATTCTCTTTGTTGAACAATGATGGATACTGAGAAGAATTTCCTTCTTTATAAAAATGAATATTACTAAAAATCAAGTCATCCTTATAATCTACCTAACATCTTCAGGAAAATTCTTTATAATCAAGTGAACCACAAGCGTATTAGAATTAAGGTAAAAACTGTCCTTTTGCAAAGGCATAGATTTAAAAGAAACCTCGTAATTTTACACCTATAATTTATTTTTGCTCTCACAAAAATAATTCTATACCAAGGAAAATTTGTATGCAGCTACTAATGGAAATAACTGTTAATTGTGGAAATGTCATGCTTACTCAGTTGGAAAAGTATAGACTGCGGATAAAGAAAGCTAAAAATATTTATTAATTATGAAAATATTAAAGTGATTAATTTCAGCTAAATTAGGTAATGACTCTAAAATTGAACCCTGAGAAATAAAAATAGCTCAAAAGTCAAATTTCACTATGCATAAAGATAGAAGTAGTTGAGATTATAGCTTTAGAACAGATGAGTACTATCCTGTCTTTTTGAGACCTATTCATTCTTGTTTCATACCAAAGCTTCTGATTTCTTTGCTTCGTGCAGGCATTTGAAATTATTAAATTGTATTTCCTTCTAGTATTCTTTGAGTTGATCCTATATTTTAGTTAATTTCGGAGATTACAACACAATCATTTTTCAAAAGCAATGAAATTACCCTTTTTTTTTTTTAGGTAGAATGGTTTAACTATACCTTTATAGCCCCTCTCCATAATCTATGCCCTAAATGTGTAACACATGCCCCATTTAATAATTATTAAGGTTGCAGATATTAGAGAAGTCTTTTAATATTTAGAATATTTTAGGTATTTAATTATATTTTATTGATGATATTAGTTGTCCCAATTTTTCCCCCTTTGCCTCCTTCCACCCAGCACCCCCTACTCCCTTAGGCAATCCCCATATCATTGTTCATGTCCATGGGTCACACCTGTAAGTTCTTTGGTTACTCCCTTTCCTATACTGTACTTTATATTCCCGTGACTCGTTTATAACTACCAATTTGTACTTCTTAATCCCTTCTCCTTTTCACCCATTACCCCATATCACCCTCCCTTCTCGCAATCATCAAAATGTTCTCTGTATCTATGCTTCTTTTTCTGTTCTACTTGTTTGCTTAGACTTTTAGATTCAATTGTTAACAGATACGTATTTTTGCCATTGTTTATAGTTTTGATCTTCTTCTTTTTCTTAAGTCCCTTTAACATTTCATATAATAATGGTTCAGTGATTAGCTTTTTCTTGTCTGGGCAGCCCTTTAACTGCCCTTCTAGTGTATAAGTGTATAAGTGTATAGTGTATAGTGTATAAGTGCCCTATACACTAGGTGCACAGGCTCTAGGGTTTCCCAAGGAGGTATAGGCCAAGGTCAGCCACTACCTCTGTTCTTTCTAAGGCCACTTGGCATAAGCTATAAAGCAAACTGCAAATAACTGCTACTTGTGCTGGGCTTAGAGGTGCCCAAGTGTAGCCAGGCTGTGAACCAAGGCCAGATGCTGTTAGCGTGGGGCCTGGGGCCACTTAGCAAAAGGTACGGGTGCTCGCTGAAGCTGGCTGCTGCTTGTTTGAGAGAATTTAGGAGAGTCTGAAGCATGAGCCAAGACAAGCCATTCGTATGGAAAAGCCACGGTTAATAGCTTGGGTGTGCCCATAAGCTGGGTGATGCAAAGCCTCAGGGAATCACCAGGGTAGGGCAAAGAGTGTGAGCCAGGTTGACAGAGTCTCAAATATAGTGTCTACTGATCTATGGCTCTGCGGGAGGAGAGCTCAGAAAAGGAACAATGACTTCTCGCCAGCAGTTCTGTTTAAGACAAAGCTGCCCCAGCTCACACCCTGATGCCAGACACTTCAGTTTCTCCCTATATGCCACTGGCACTTTTCAAGCTGCTGCCCTAATGCTGGAGCTCAGAGGGAGTGAGTCTAAGTTAAGTCTGTGCATGGGCCCTTTAAGAAATACTGTTTGGGAATCCAGAAGTTTCTTCCACTGACTCAATCCCCACTAATTTTCACAGCCAGAAGTTATGGGGACTTCTCTTCTTGGCACTGGAGCCCTGGGCTGGGGGGCGTGGTATGGGGCTGGGACCCCTTGTTCCCAAGGATATCCCTCCTGATTTTTATCCACCACACGTGGCTGTGGGACCAGTCTGTTCCACATCTCTGCATCTCTGCCTCCACTACCAGTCTGGATGGATGTGGTTTCTTTTTCAATTCCGAAGTTGTAGAACTTCCATTCATCTGGATTTCTGACAGCTCTGAGTTCTATGGTTGTTCTACAGTTCAGTTGTATTTCTGATGTGGCTGAGCAAGGAGGTGTGACATGTTTACTTAGGCCACCATCCTGGAGAATCTTTGAGAAGTTTTTTCTTAAATGCACCTTCATTCCTACTGTATCTGGGAAGTGGGGAAATCTATTTATCAATGGAAAAGTAAAACCCTCATAGAACAGTCTTAATAATATTTAAAATAAGGGTAGAGGTAGTAGCTTCTATGAAGATACTCTTCCTTTAATTAATATTGTTTTACACATTATTGTGTAAACCCTCCCACATTATTGTGTAATATTAAATTGTGTAATATTAATATTGTTTTACACATTAATTGACAAGAACAGTAGCTATTTTTATCTATCTTAGAATACTTTTAAAAAATCTTTTTTAATAAGTATTTAAAATAATACATCACGAAAACTGTGGAAAAGGTAAAATAAATATCTTAAATTATCATTATTTCAATTTTCTTTCCCTTTTTGCTGGGGAAAAGGAAGTGTGAAGTATCATCCTTTGTTATTTTCTTAAAACAAAGTATCCTAATTTTATTTAGAAAAATAAGGATGTCTCTTGCTAACTTAAAATAACAAATACTAACAAGTATAGAAAAAGAAAGATGCATATAGTTAATTCTCCTCCTTAGAAGCAACTGACCAATTTGGTGCTATCATAAAAATGAAATGTGTATAAAATGAATGTTTTCTACTTAAATTTTCAGAAATACACTTTTCATAAAATACTATAACTTGTTTTGCAAAGCAGTGGGAGACCATAATAACGACTCTGCAAACTGAAACTACACCAAAATCTTAATAAAGGATGGGAAAATATACAATTTTTCTGTGATCTTTTAAAAATGTTTGTGAAAACATTAAAAGCTCTTACTAGTGGTTACAAATGTATAGGGAAATGAAAAATAGAACATACTTACAATTTACTACACTATAGCTCATCACAAATATTGAGAATAAAAGTGTTTTATTTCTTTGCAAAAAACTAATCAAGAATAGTTTGAACTGTGCTTGCCTACTTCTCACCCTGTAATTTACAATACAGGGCCTCTTTTCTATGCCTTGGCAAGCTGTCCTCCTCCATTTTTAACTCTACAACATTTTACCCCTTACCCTTTTAACACTGTGAAACACCTCTGCGAATTCCTAATATGAAGTTTTTTGCTAACTTTACACATCCTCTAAGATATTTTCATCCTTTCTGTCACAATCACTTTCCTCATTTACATCAATAAATGCACCTTTACCAAGTTCCTTTGGCTACACAGCTAGAGGCCCTAGAACAGTGGCATGTCAACATTCCCACAGTCAACTACTTTTTCTGTAACTCCATTTATTCTTGATTCCTATTTGATTAACAGTGTTATTTTTTATTTGCTGCACTTTCATCTTTGATGGCCAATTCCCTCTTTTGATTATCCATTTTTGTAAAATGTCACATGGATCTACCACTTGGAAACAGTGAGGCTACATAGCCACATGCCCTGTCTGTGCAAAAAGTGAACAACAGATGCATAGTGACCAGTCTCTGACAAACTGAAATAAGTGATGTGATCGTCATAGATCATGATGTACATCTGCTATTATGTGCTGATTTGTGGGCTCAGGAGCTAGCGGCAAAGTTAGTACTTCATGCAATTGCTCAGGTGACACACCTTGGTCATGAACCACATTTGTGGTTCAATGTGGAAATATGAACCACATTTTGTTAGGGACTAATGTCATTTAACTGAAATTTATGCCCACTGAAACTGTGCAAAGCAAGGACTTCCTGTATAAGCATATACACCTAACTGTATGCATATTAAGAAAATATTTTAAAAAACCATGCATTTACAAAGAAAGAGTAAAATAATGCTACAAACCAGTGTGAGATGACTCATCATCACTATCCTCATCTTTTCTTCCTTTCTTCTTGATTTTTTTAATTTTGTACTCTCTGGCATTGCCACCACCTCCTCCTCTTACACTTCCGCTGCCCTCTAGTAGAAAATGACATTAGTTAGTATTACCTTACTTACTACCATTTAAAAAAAATGATGACACTATATTGTCATATTTAACTTTACAGCAGAAAAATAAAAGCCAAATAATAAACTTTTAGCTAAGTTTTAATGTCAAAGTTTCTTTATTAAAACAGAAGTTTTGTAAATCCAATAAATATGAAATCTCTTGAATTTGAACAACTCCCTTAGATAGTCTATGTGCTCTAAATGCAGTCTCGTGCTCCGTCTCTAATAACACATCTTTTCTGTAGCTTTGACTTTTTCTTGGCTGAACCCATTCATTTACCTCCTTTTCTATCTTCCTCAAAAGAAATGTACCTTCATTTGCCCTTCAGTTACCACAGACTCATGAATATCCTCTATAATAATTCTTCCCAAATTTAATTATACTTGTTTTTAATTTCTTGTGAAAAATTACTAACCATAATTATAGGAGATATCCTGATTCTTCTATCACCCAACAAGATAATAAACTTCTTGAGAGCAGGAAGCATGTTTCACTAATATTCGTATCTTTGGGGTTAAAGCAAATGCTTGACGTGTAAGAGGTGCTCAATAAGTATTATAAAGCACCTAAAAATGTGCACCATGAATATTAAATTGGTTTAGTAGAAAAAAATATATCTCAACTGCCTACTGGTTAAATAAAAGCTAAAAAACCAACATTTCTGAAATAAACTAAAACACTGTAAATAAGAGTAAAAAGTGTTATTGAATTATTTCTTTATTAGAACTTAAATTTAAAATATCTATCTGATAAAAAATACACTAATAGTGGAATTGAATATTGAGAATATATTCATAAAAGTTCATTTTTTAATAAAGATTTTTTTAATTCTACATAAAATTACCTTAAATTTCATATCATAAAATTGTATGTTCTAATTTATTTTTCCTTACTTTATGAAAGAAAAAAAATTTTTTAGAAGCACAAGTCCAAAGTGAATGTGCTTTTTATTGTATTTGGTAATTAGTTTCTTATGAGGAAGATGTTCATGTCTGGCATCTTTCCATGCATTGTAACTCAACTATTATAATACAATAATAGTACTACCACTGAGACAAAATACCAAATGATCCTGAATTTTTAGAAGAAATAAAATAGACTACTTATGCTGGCAAGGTGAATTTATAACTGTATCTTCAAATACTATGATAAACTATCCATGACTGTGAATACTACTGATTCACTGAAGTGATTTACTACATAGTTTTCCTAGAATAGTGCGAAATTTCAAAATGTCATTTTTGAATGACTACAGAAAATGGCCTTTGAAGCGGAAAGAAAATGATCTCAAAGAAACAGGAGTGCATTCCCACAGCAAATAAAAATTGTTCCTACTATAAAAATTATAGAAAATACAAGCTAGTTTCGAAATGCAAGTTACTAGTATACCAGTACCACCTAGAATAATTTCTAGCAACTCTAAATTTTAAAAAATAGCATCTCCTTGGAAAATTCATTTATTTGATAAATATTTATAGATCACGTAAAACATGTCAACGGGAGTTCTAAGTACTAGGGAAACAAACAAACAAACAAACAAACAAACGAGATGGACAAGGTTCCCAAATAATAACACACATCACAGTGATAAAAGTGATATTTGGTTTATCTCTAAATGACAAAAAGGAACCAGTTACTTGACGTTCAGGAGAGAACATTCCAGGTAGAGAGAATAGCTAGTGTAAAGGCCTTGAGGTAAACGTGCCAACTCTGACAACAGTAAGGAAAAAAGGCTGCTGACTACTGGGATGGAGCATACAGGCTAAGGGGGGAACAGCAGTAGACGGACCAAGCATTAAATTAACTAGCTCTCACAAGGAAAACACAGAATAAGTAATCGCCAATATTTCCATTTTTATAATACAAATTTGATTCATTAGCAAAACATTTGATTAATATTAGCAGTCAAAGGTGACCTGACTAAATAAAAGACATTTCAAAGCGCCTAACACATGCAGAGTTCACTGCAACAAAGAAAAAAACTCATCTTTGAACTTTCTTTTTAAATAATTTACCTGTTGCTTTTCTTCTTCGTTCATCTTTTTTATCCTTTTTACCTGTATTAATGTTTTCTAAAATGGAGACTTGTTTCAGATCTTCTTCAGTTACTAAATGAACAGGATTACTTTTCAGTTCCTAAAATAAAACATGATTTTTTGGTAGTCATAAATACAGAACATTACAGAAAGCGTAAAATAAAAGTTGTTCATATACTCACATCTTAATTATTCTTGTTCGGTTTCATTGCTAAGAGCTCTACAGATCTGTCTCACGGGTGCCACTGAGACTGTTTCTCTTTGCCAAAAATCAGTCTCTTTCTTTGCTAATCTTGGATTTTTTTTATCCATTATCAGCAAACGAGAAATCCTATCTGGGTACTGAACTACTGATCACAAAGCATCAAATATAATCCTCTTCAGCTGTTACTGGCTGGCTTCGCCACTGCTTAACAGATGACCCTTACTCTGTTTCTTTTCGAGACTCCCAAGTCCATACCATCCCCGGACACCCGAGATTATTAAAAAGATAAAAGCCCCCTCCACCCTGCCAACTCCACTGTAATGAGCATATATGAACTGCATACTTAGGATATAGACTCATCCCCCTCTCTGGACTCATTCTTGATTTCTGCTTTTAAAAAAATGTGTGTTAAGAATATTGAACTATTTCCCAGTTCAGAAACTGGTTCTTTATCATGGAAAAGGGTTCATATCCATAGTGATAAAAGTACATTTTCATGTTAAAAATGGTATTTCCCTTTTGGTTTCCTGAAGAAAAATGTCTAGAATGTTGACAGTTCAGATGATAAAATCGCCTTTTTTTTCTGAGTTTATTTTTGTGTTTGGAGGGAGGAGCACAAGGAAAAAAACTGATGACCACGTTAAGTTCTTATTTCAGCAGCAGGTCACAAAAATAATAATATAAGCATTTAGTAATGGTAGCTACCATGTAACAGACAACCTTTATGTGCATCCTTCATTCACATTTATCCTTTGGAGACCAGGAAGCACTATCCTTTCTTTGGCGATGAGGAAACTGGAGGTCTAGTTGTCCAAAGACAAATAGCGAGTAAACAAGTTGGGAATAGAACTCAGATTTACCGACATTAATGCTGTGCACTTTTTACTCCTCTCTGCTACTTAGCAGCTCAAACGTAGAAAATTATCTCTTTTTAGACTATTAAAGTACTTAAAAGGAATACAGATACAAATTATTTACATATTTAATATGTAAATGTATTAACAGTCTAAGATAAATGGGCTCGTTCTACCTTTTTGTGAGTAGGCTTTGTAAGTAGATGCTGCTGTTAACTAGAAACATTAATTGATCAGTTCTTAACACAGACTTGGCATGAACTCTACTTTGACAGCAGTTGCTCTGAGGGACTAATCAATTTTGACAGTAACAAACATTTTCTTTCCTCAGAAAATGATCTGGTTTGTGGACCCCAAATAGGTAAAATTAATGAGGCTCTGACAGATTTAGTAAGTATGTTACATAGTGATAGATAAATATACTGTGTATTTATGGATTTTGATGTTGGACCAATACCTTCACTTCATGTAACTTAATTGAGAAGTGTGTAATTTCATTTATATGATTTCAATTCATAAAATCAGCTCTCTTAAGTTCTAATCTGTACGTTCTCATGGAAATAAAGAAGAAGAAAAACAACTCCAGGAGAGAAAAAAAAAAAGAATACAGTAAAGGAAAATGATGTATAAAACACAGCATTCATTTTTGAGTACACAGCTTAACCCCAGTTTTTAAAAAGATGTCAAATGAAAATAATGCTAGGTTTGCTAGGTGAGAGGAAATGTGGCATACCTTTTCAGCTTTTTGATGCATCAGTTCACTGAAGAGTTCTGTACAGTCATTTATAAATTTTTCACTGACTACAACTGTGTCACTGAAGACTACAGCTGAAGGCTGTTTGCTAAATGCTCTCATCACTTGTTGAAGCAACATTGCAGCATCTTCAACTGATAAAGAACTGGGTAGCAAAGGCTAGAATTACAAACAGATGGAAAAGCATAAATGCTATATATTACAGATAAGTCACCTGTTATATGTGTGCTCTCCCTAGATGCCCTCATTAGGTCCAGTGGCTTTCAGAACCATCTACATGCTGATAACTCCCAAGTTATAGTTCTGCTTTTACCATCATTCTGAGTTCTGGTCCCTAATCCTACTGCTTCCCTAACCTTCCTATCTCTATACCTAATAGGAATTTGAAATTTACCATGTCCAAACAACACTGATTTGTGGCTATCTGCCCCTACCCTTCCCCACCTCAGTTAATGGTACCACTCTCTACACAGTTGATTAGGTTCCAAACCTACAAGTCACACTCAGTTCCTCTCATAAAATTTACAAACAATCCACCATCAAGTCTAGATAACTTTAACTCGAAAGTATATTTCTTTTTTAGCTCTTTCTAGTGTATGAAATTATGATTTTCATTAACTATTAACCCCCAATGAAAGCACCCCTCCCTGAAAGCAAGAACGTTTTCTGGACACCACGTTCCCAGCAAGTAAAATGATTGCAGGCCAATGGAAGTCACTTAATTTGTTGAAAGAATAAACACTTGGATCTGTAATCTCTGGGAACTCATATATCTAGAACAAGCAATGTTCTGCTACATACAGAGTCTGGGCCCTAATTAGTAAATAATGAATTGGCCTTTTGTTTCATTCTCTTCATCTACACTTATCTTCTTGGCATAATAAAGGCAGGTCAACACTGAACACTGGAAAAGGCTATCAGTGCTAAAGCAGCTTGTGTTAACTTACAAGCAGAGATCAACGGATAAGGAATAAACGAATGAGACAGGAAGCCTGATGCCAGTAAAGCTGTAAATGCTTGGATAAGATTGTGAGAAGTCTCATTAGTTTCTCTGTGGCAGCACTTATATGAGTGCTATTAGTGTTTGCTTGTTTGAGATTTATAGAATCTCGGCTGTTGACTATCCATATATAAAACGTCACCTCACTTCAAAAACTAGAAAATCTTTAAGCATAAAATGATTAAGATTATTTTTGTTGAAACAATGACTGCTAGAATTTGGCTCTAAAGCCAAGACCTTTATGTATCCTGAGTTTTAAATTGGGCATATGCTAGTGAAATATCAGTTGTCAGTGGTTTAAAGAAAAATTAAGGAGAAAAAGAACAAAACATACTGCAATATCAACCCATGTTCCAGAGCTGATGGCTTCCTCTACTGATGCTTCCACCTGATCCACAAGTCCTTGACCAACACAAGCTGCTTTCAAAAACAAGAGTTGTGCATTCTTGTATCTTTTCTTTACGTAGCTCACAGCATCTGGGATTCCAAGTCTGGACAAAGCATCAAATTCTAGAAATACATCACAAGGTTGGAATAGAATTGTCAATCTTCACAGTTTTCAGATCTTAGAAAAAGTTAAATTCCACCAAGCCCTATTCTTTGTGGATGCACAAAGAATATTCTAATTTTTTTCTAATGTATCCTAATTTTTTTTTCAAAAAGAATAAAGCATAGAAATGTACAACAACCTATTCCCTGCTTATATTACCTTCCCAAATTTTTATTACTAAACATATTTATAGAAAAATGGGTTCAAGTACTTTCTCAATCCCAGCTATTTTACCCCTCTCTCTAACTGAGAGGTCAAAGGGAAACATGAGAACTATAGAGAAATAAAAGTAGAATGGGTAGATAAAGAATACAGTGATTTAAATAAAGAAACATGCACTGGAATTTATTTTGCTTATTACAGTTAAATAAAGCAACTAAATTTATTTTTCAGATGTTTCATCAGACAACTTAAGACAAAGTAATTCTTCAGTCTAATTTAAACTAGTAAGAGATTTAGCATATAACACAAAAGTAAAAAATGAAGACAAATTTACAACCATTAAAGTTATTGAAGATATCTACTGTCCTCTCTCTGCCCCTAAATAATCATGTTTATGAAAACCATTTGTAACAAAGTTCTAGTTCAAGTCCATAGTTGAAAAAACTGGAAAGTACACTATGGAAAGTCAAGAAAACAAACTACACCCTGTATTCTAGCATGCATTTAAAGTATTTGAACACTAATGACTCTCATACAGGTTTATCACCGAGAAAGGAACTGATCTCTACGTGGTTTGACTTGGGTTATAAAATTGAAGTGACATATATATATTTATTTGTTAGTTGCTTTAATGACTAAGTTCAATCAATCTACTTTATTGAAATGACAGAACCTTGGAAGCTGAATTTAGAATATCTTCAATGTTTCTGAAGTACTGGATAAGTAATAAAAATTAACATAATAAAGTTGGTAGCCATTAAAAATATTTCTAAGATATTATACCTGAAGAACTGGGCAACTTCATAAAATATAATAAATATAATTACTTTATATGCATTAAAAATTACTTGAAATTTTTTATCACTGGAAGGTTGGTACAGGTAATGCCAGATTTTGGACTTTTTATAACAGTTCAATAACTATGGAACTAAACTCAGCTTCAAAGACCCACAAAAAACTAGTGTGACTACTTTTACCCTCAGAGAACTGTTATAAAACTTCCTAAGAATGTGGTTAGTATTAGAAAGAACTTCTAGTATCTCAGGGAAAAAAAGTTACCTAGATAGCCATTCTGCCTGAAGAAGGAATCCACCCAAGTGCTTTGTGTTTTAGAATAGATGTCAGGCACAAACACCGCCTTATCTTGTCTTCCACCAACCACAGTGCCTCGTAGGCGTCCACTATTAACAAGTTCCTCAAGGACAGCTTAAAACAAAACCAAACAAACAGAAAGAAATCATAGCAGGTATAAATCTCAAAAAAACAAACAACAAAAATAAACCCAACAACCTCAAACTTTACTATTTTACAATTTAGTTATTCTTACCCTTTAAAAATGCAATTTCAAGTTTAAATTGCATAAATGAAGACACTGTATTTTAGACAAAACTTTTCTGCCATTTATGAGAATATTCAGGTCATAAATTCAGAAAATTTTGGCAACTAGCTAAAGATGCTCAATTTGTAAAAACTGCCTAGTAACATGAATTTTTACTTTGAGTAATTTTAGGAAAAAAAAAAGGCATCATTTAATCTCATGTTTTGTTTAAAAGGAGATGATTAATACTTTGAGAACAGATGTTACCATATTTAGAAAAATCAAGATACCTAGGTCATATTAGAATCAACAATGTGGAATAAAGCCATGAACATAAGTTATTATACGTCCACTGCTTAAGTTGGAACAACACATTTTAATGCTACCTATAAAAAGAAGTACAATGCCGTGGTTAAGAGGACTGATCTGGATGCAGATAGCCTAGGTCCAAATCTCAACTCTGCCAGCTAACTGACACACACTGCACAAGTCTTTTTATTTATGTTTTCATTTTCTCCTCTGTGAATGCCAATAATAATAATGCTGCTTTTCAGGGTGGTCATATTCCAGGAAAGTGCTTGGAACTGCAGCTAGCATATCATAAGCACTCTGTAAATGTTAACTAAATATCACTTACCACCACCATCACCGCCACTGTCAGCAGCAAAAGACTGAAGCCACGGAACTGGATGGTGCTATGACTAACACCAGATTTATACTTTTTACTTAAACAATAACATTTAACTAAACTAAATATGAACATCCCCTAAAACAACAAAGACAAAGCTGATAGGAAGAAATTTTTCCTAACGCAATCAGATGATGTCTGGCACAAAGAAGGTCTATGAAAATTAGCTTTTAACAACAACAAAAAAAATCAGTTTACAGAATTTCAATACTGAGTAAATTAGAATTCATGTGAAAAGTCTAGATGTCTCAATAAGCTGCAGCATACAGTTTCAAATGCTAAATTCAAACCAAAGTTATCAAGTTACCAATAATTACTTGAAGAACTTTATGTTATTATAATGAAATCTCACCAACCCCCATTTATGTAGATTCCAAAATATGTCACATTTTAATTTTAAATTACATCTTTAAAAAATTAAAGTTTAATTCCATATTTGAAAAACAGTGAATAAAAATTTTTTGTTATATACTTCAATTTCTCCATTATTTTAATTCTTATATTTGCAGAGAGATGAGCCAGATCAAGTCACTACTTTTAAAAATTATTTCAGCAAAGCTTTAAAATAACCCTCAAACCCTCAAAAAAGCTTCACAAACATACGCATATTACACAATATTTAATGAACCAAGATTATTTTGGAGATACTGTACTATTCTGTTTGAATGCTAAGAATATATTTTTATTGCTACAAAATCTTTGTAAAATTCTTTTAGACAAATACTATTTATTTTGTATTAGAAAATGTAGTAAAAATCTGTAAGAAACTAAAAATTATTCTTAATACTCTAATTCTAAATCTCTCTCTATGTATGTATATGCCTAACAGGGTATTTATACACAAACACAGACACACACAAAATACTTTTTTTCATTCCACTACCCTCATGGTAACCAACAATAAATACTTCGGTGGGTATAACCGAAATGTACATGAACATTAGTATAGAGAAATTTTCCAACAAGAAATATCTTGATTACATAAATTTTACGATTAAAAGAGATAAAAACATTAAAATTAGTGTTATATTAATAGTCTATTCAGCAGCTAATTAGAAGATATATAATTTAAAATGAACTCACAGTAAAGAAGCTGCTCTTGAAATCCATATTTTGATATCAAAGAATTCAATGCTGTAGGCCTTTATGGAAAACAAAACAAAGAATTATTGGTGTACAGTTATATATTTATGAATTAAAAACTATGTAGGATAATTAGTTTATAGAAACATCAATTAACATACAATAAATAAATGAAGGCAAAAACTGCATCACGTTGTACATCCTTAACAAGAATTATACTACTAAAATACCTGGGGATTAGATCTGTCTTCCCAATCGGGGATCAATTTACTTTCCCACGAAAATTTTGACCTCAGTTAACACTCTGCCTTGCCGTTTATTGTATGTTTGTTTTTCTGTATGCTATTCTTTGTGTCTGGGAGGCTCTCTCCCTACCTGGGAATAGTTAAGTGAATGTTATATGATTCTATTTCTGAAGATATGTGAGACTACAGGTGTACTGAAAGGAGTCTCAAATGATACACTCCCGGATTAGGTAGATGTAGGTAGATGACTGGGAGGGATCAACTTAAAATGTTCTTTTTTTGCTTATCGGTATTTTCTGTAATTACTAAGAATTTTTTTAAAAAAGCTTTAATGAGGTGTAATCTATATATCAAAAATCCAACCAACTGTAAATATACTTGTACAGTTCAATGATCTTAATACATTCATAGAGTTGAGCAACCATCACTATAATCCAGTTTTAGCACATTTCCATTACTCCAAAACTTCTAAATCGATGATTTCATTTAATTCCTGCTGGGACCCCTAGACGTAAAAGGAAATGAATGCCCTTTTTCCTTGGGTGCCCAACCTTGGGCCTTGGACCAATACTGGTCCAGGCCTGTTAGGAACTGGGTGCACAGCAGGAGGTGAGCTTGAGTGTAAGCACTTGAATCATCCTGAACCCATCCCCAGCTCCCTGGTCCGCGGAAAAAGTGTCTTCCACAAAACCAGTCCCTGGTGCCAAAAAGGTCAGGGACTGCTGACCTCAAAAACTATGGATCTGCTTTCAGCCTCTATAAATTGTATTTCTAGTCCTGGCTGGTGTGGCTCAGTGGACTGAGTGCCAGCCTGCAAACCAAAGGGTTACCGGTTGATTCCCCATCTAGGTAACATGTAGGCCAAGTCCCCCAGCAGGGAGCCCGCAAACAGCAACCACACATTGATGTTTCTCTCCCTCTTTCTCTCTCCCTTCCCTGTTCTCTAAAAATAAATAAATAAAATCTTATTTTATTTAAAAAATTGTCTTTCTAAAAATTCTATGTAAATACAATGAATATGTGATCTTTTATGTCTTGCTTCTTTCACTTCACATGTTTTTGAGATTCATGATAAAGTATAAATCAGTATTTTTTCCTTTTTATTACTGAACAGCATTCCATGGTATGAACATACCACATTTTGCTTATCCATACATAAGCTGATACACTTTTGGGTTGTTTCTAGTTTGGGGCTATCATAAATAATGCTTCTACAAAAATTTGTGTTTATGTCTTTGTGTGGACACGTTATTTTCATTTATTTTGGGTAGATCATGTGAGTGCCTTTCTTTCACAACAATTAAAATTTTTTTAAGTAAGGAAATTATAAAAAAAGGATCTAGACTTTTCTGTCCATAATTTTTTCCCTATTCATTTTAAGTCAATTATGCCTGTTCTCTGATTTAATTATAGCTTATGTTTTTATTTCAATGCATATAACTAAGAGATTTTCAAGTTAATCCAACTAATCCATCCTTTACTCTTGATTCTTTAAGATGTTATAAATTTCTCTATAACAAACTTGGGAAAGCAGAAACAGTTGTCTGGGTATAAATTAGCATGTATTTATAACTCCTGTGTTTGGGAATTTTTGACTAAATTAGTATTTTAATCAAATTCTTGTATGGATCAACTTGTTTTGTATTAAATTTTTACCCAAATTTTTCAGCTAAATTATCTAGAGTTTCCAAATAAATTAGGTCCAAATAGGTATTCTGCTCTCTTCTGTTCATCTTATAATGATTACATCTTTCTCATGTTTCGTGTGTGTGTGTGTGTGTGTGTGTGTGTGTGTGTGTGTATTCTGTTCCCTTCTATCTGAACACATTCCTACAAAACTGTAGGGAACTCCTTGAAGGACTTCATCTTAAAAGTTTCTGGGTGTATAATTTAATGTGGATATTCAATAAAGGCTTAACTAAACTGCACAAAACCTAACTTTTTTTGTATAATAAAATTTAGCTGCTTGAGGACGGAATCAGTGAACTGGAAGATGAGGTAGAGAGAAATACCCAGATAGAGCAACAAAATAAAAAAATACTTAAAAAGTATAAGGATACTTTAAGCGCAGGGGTGTCCAACCTACGGCCCACAGGCTGCATGCAGCCCAGATGGTTGTCAATGTGGCCCAACACAAAATCATAAATTTACTTAAAACATTATGAGACTTTTTTGTGATTACATGTTACAATGTATTTACTGTGTGGCCCAAGGCAACTCTTCTTCCAGTGTGGCGCAGAGATGCCAAAACGCTGGACATCTCTGGTAAGGGAACTTCAGGACAACATGAAACATAACAACAATTGCATCATAGGAATATCAGAAGGAGAAGGAAAGGAGCAAGGGACAGAAAATCTGTTTGAAAAAATGATGACAGAAAACTTCCCTATGAAGGGAAGTCAAGGAGAAAAGTCACGCAACTTCAGGGAGCACAGAAGGTCCCAAACAAGATGAACCCAAAGAGGCCCACACCAAGACACATCATAATCAAAATGCCAAGGGAGGAAAGAGGGGACATGTAGAAAGGACGCATGGGCATGGGCAATGGGGTGGCGATTGACCGTTGCGGGGGGCATGGCAGGGGAGAGCAACGGGGAGAAAGTGGGACTACTGTTAATAGAACAATAAAAAATAAATTAATTAAAAAAAGAAACTTAGCTGCTCAATTTTTATTTTAATTTGGAAAACAACGTAGTTTGGTAGACCAACATAGCCCACTCTTTTCACCAATTATTTTCTGTTCTCCTTTTTGGCTACCAATATTATATCATTAAATGTATATCCTTTTTCAAACAGAGATGCAAATATTTTCTCTGAAGATAGACCAGAAAAGTGGGGTGGTTCTTTATATTTAAGAGGCAAATATGAAGATACGGTGCATTAAATGGAACTATCTTGAAGTCACACAGCCTAGCAACATTTTTTGAGGCTCGGAATTTATTTTACCCTCATGGTTTGAAAAAACCTCTATATAGAGAAACTCAAGGCAACCATGAGTCATAAAAATGCAGGGTAGGCCACAGTAGGTTTATAGTTGTTTGTATGGAGAAAGACATGCAGGTTATCATTATTACAATAGCTTTATTAACTCTTGTTTTGCATACTCACAACTGTAAACCTACTTTTACCCACCTCTGTACTATTTGCTCTATCTGATAACTACATTCACCATAATAGTCAAAAAACTGTCACTAGGAAAAATCATTTTTATGTTTTGACTACAAATAAATGTGTAGAGTACAAAAAAGATACAAAACTGAGTCTCCGCCTATTCCTATCACTCGCCTACTCAGTTCCTCTCTCAGAAACAACTACTATCACCAGTTCCTTGAGTTAGGACGGTGATGTGGTGCCAGCTGTAAGAGTCTATGGGGAGTAACAGAGGCCTCTGCAGAGGGAAGAGAGCTGGAGCAGCAATGGGAAATCAGTCACATTAAAGGGAATTAGCCATGCAAGTAACTATATTTAAGAAACTGGAAGCCAGGCTTCTCACAGCCAGAGAAGGGAGTTACAAATATGAAAAAGAAGAAAACAAAAAACTTAGTGTTGCAAGGAAAGGTTTTGGTGTGAATGCATGGTTTTTGATACACATAGATAAAACTACAGAAATATATGTATATAAAGAGAGCGGGGTGTTTACATGTGTCTTTGTGTACTCCTTATTTTGTCTGGTGAGGGGGCTTGGAAGCAGTGACATCAAATAATAATAAGCAATCTAGAATCCAGATCTTGGTTTCTAAATACCATATGCTACCAAAAGGAACTAGGGCTCCTTGGGAAAATGGCTGAATTCAGGGCTGGGACAGGGAAAGGATGTACAGAGACTGAAACTTCTTGTGCGAAAAAGAAAAGAAGTGCTCCAAGAATGATGGGGACATGTCAGAAATACACAGAAGCCAGCCTCAAGGGCTTCCAGTAGCTCAACCAGAGACAATTTGAAATACTAAATACTAATGATAATAACAGATTATAATCCAATGAACAAAATGACAACCATTGAGTCCACAGGATTTAAATAAATGAATAAACTGAAAGTCTGAAGAATCAGAGGATAAGTTACATGATCTCAAGTGTCCCTTCACAGAAACACTATTATAAAGAAAAAACAAGTATTATTAGGAGAAGCTCAGCAGATATCGCCTTATTAAGAAGTTACCATGTACATCTCCACTAACTGGAAAAAATCTAAAGTGTATGCTACCTGATAGCACTGAACAACAAGAACAAAGAATCGCTTCTGTGTTATTCCTGCCAAATATGCACAACCTGAATATCAACATGAAAGAAAAAAAAAAGAGTAGACTAGCAAAATTAAACATTCTACAAAATAACTAGCACAAGATCTTCCAAAGTGTCAAGGTCATGAAAGTCAAGGAGAGACAAAGTAAGTGTTGCAGATTGAAGGTGGGTAAGGAGTATTTCAATTAAATAAAATACATGATCCTATTTCTATAAAGGACATTACTGGAACAATTAGTAAAACATGAACAGGATCCAAGGACTGGATGGTAGTAATACATCAATGTCAATTTTCTGATTTTGATGTCTGTATTACAGTTATATAGGACCATACCCTTGTTTGTAGGACATACAGACTAAAGTATCTTTGGTGATGGGACATCATAACAGCAACTTCCTCTCAAATGGTGCAGAAAGATAAAGGTTCTCTTGTAACTTTTCTGTTAGGTATTAACAGAGGAAAATTGTTGCATTAGATTGCAAGCTCTCCCTTCTAACCTGCTAGTCTCTTATATCACAGTGCCTTGCACATATTAGGTGTTTAATGACAGAAAGAAATTATTGTGACTGCTATGTAAAAAATGTCTGGAATGTTATAAACATAGAAGAAGGGAGAATGGTTAAAAACCTACTAAAACAGTCCATGTAAAAAAAAAACCCAGACTGAAGTGGTAGGAACAGAGATGTCAAGTAAAGATTACATAAATATGTAGAATATAGCATTCAAAAGACTTTGTGGTCTGGAATGGGAGATGAGATAATGTTATAAAGGATGACTCCTAGGTTTCTGGCAAAAGCAACCAAATGGTAACATATCCTGGTAATGGAAACACAAGTGAAAGAATTAATTCAGGTGGGAGGGGGAGTGGGATAGCTCAGGAACAGTGAGTTATTTTAAATATGTTGAATTTGAGACACTTATAAAACATTTCAATAGAGATGCTGTGTAGGTAGTATTAGTCTGGAATTTAAAAGAAGTTAAAATATGTAGGAGACAGTACAGGACTGAAAAGATGGTCTAAGAAAAAAAACTTTAAAGGCTAGGGTAAGGAGGAAAAAGTGACTTGGGAAGTACAGCCAAAAGTGGTAAAAAGAAACCTGAAAAGTGTGATGTTTAAGAAAGGGGATGTGGGATGAGAATATTTCCAGAAGGAAGACAGAGTTGGAGTTAAATGCTGCTGCAAAGTCAAGTAAAACAAGGACGGAAAATACCCATTAGATTCAATGATAGTGACATCATTGCTCTGCAAGCGGGAGAAGTGAGACGGGTGAGCTGAGAGTGGCAGAAGGTAAGAAAACTGAGGCAGTAAATGTAGACATCGGCTCTTGAGACGGTTTACTTAAAGAGACAAGACAGTAGATGGAGAGTAATGTGAGCTTGAGGGAGGTTTTATTGTTTTCCAGTGGAGCAATCTGAACACATTTAAATGCTGGAGGGACCCCAAAACCACTGAGATAAAGTTAATTACACAGGAGAGAAGATAATTGAGAATGTAGGTTTTTCTTAACTTCACACTGGAGCTTGACACACAGGCCCAAAACATTTAAAAAATTCTCATTTTAGAAATATTGAGGTGATTTTCAAGGTAACATTGTTATTCATCAGAACTGTAGAATGTTGTTTCGTAATAAGAGTTCTAAAATCATCTAGCCCCATCTAAGACCCAAAGAAGTTCAGCAAAATGATTTATCTGTTTAAAGTCATACTGTTATTTTGAGTAGAGCTGTGACCCTAAGACTTCTGACTTTAACCTGCCTTTTCCATGATCCCAGAGTGATTTTACACACCGATCTGGGTATTCTGCAGAGGTGCATCTGGGGCCTTGTGAGCGGTAGAAGGCAGGAAGAGGAGGATATGGGTTAGAGAGTTCAGTAGCTACATTCTAGGGCTCTGGAATCCCCACTCCCATTTCACAGACCTTCCCCTATTATCTGTTTAATGAACTAGGGTCCTGAAGGAGATTTTGCTTAAAACAAATTTGCTTGAGAAAAATTATACAAACCAAAACCATGATCAAAGAAATATACAGACTTTAAAACATGCTTACCGGGTAATAGCACTGAACAGTCCACGGATGCGTGCTTTATGTCGAGCTACAAAAGCTTCAGTGAATATTACTCCTCTGTTATCAAGATCAATGTGTCCATTAATAATTCTACCTAGTCGCTGAGTGAGTGCCTAGGAGTAAAAATTCAAATTTCTATAAGCTTGAAAGAAAAAATTATAAATATACACATTTGTATAGTTGTACTAAAGTCATGCTGCATGCTGATGTTGTATTAATCATGTACTCCAGAAACTCCAACCGCATAAATAAGATATATAAGCCAAAATCAATATTTAGGATCCAGGAAATATCCTAATATCACAGCAGAGCCAAGAACTGAATGAGTCAAATAGCTGATATGTTAAAGGGCTTAGCCAGCTGCTAATACGGCCATTCCTCATGTCAAATAAAAATGATCAATTAACTACTTTTCTAGGTATAGGCAATCTGAAACATACAGAGAGCCAAGACATATACATGAGTCTTGGAGAAGACCCACTCTGCAGCTTCTAACACTAACAGAGAGAGAAATATTATTCCAAGATTTTGCAACCTATAGAAACACAAGACCTGAAAAGGTATCTCCTTTGATGCAAACATTAACAGGTTATCTGTACCCAGAAACCTACACTGGCAGAAAATCTTATTTCTTACTAACCTCTTAATAACTTTAGGAGAATATTTCTCCACAGCTACAGTATAACTGGACTCAGGGACATCTAAATTAAGTCTGGACATATTTCACATCCCAAGGTAAGTTAAATCTACTCAAGTCAGCCTAGTTGATACTTTTGTGGTATAGAAAAATGCTTTCAAACAACTTTTTAATGAGTTTCCATACTACTACTTGTGATATTCAGAAAAATTAGAACTAAAAACATTAAGAAACCATATTCATTTCCAAAATATATCACCAGCAGTTTTATTAAAAAATCATTTAGATCTATTCTGATATTTTTAAGAGTTCTAAAAATATACTTTTTGATCTTCTACAATTAACATGTATTTTTTTAACTTAAAATTTTTTATTGTTCAAATACATTTGTCATTTTCCTGCCACCACTTTCCCCTGCCCCACCCACCCCCACCTCCCACCCTCAATCCTTCCCCATTTTGGCTTTGTCCATGGGTCCTTTATACATGTTCCTTGATTTGACCCTTCCCCTTTCTTTCCCCAATAATCACCCCCCACCTTCCCTCTTGTTGCTGTCTGTCTTTCCTTTCAATGTTGCTGGTTATATTTTTCTTGTTTGTTTTGTTGATTAGGTTCCACTTATATGTGATATCATATGGTATTTGTCTTTTACCCCCGGCTTATTTCACTTAGCATAATGCTCTCCAGTGCCATCCATGATGTCGTGAAGAATAGTAGCTTTTTTCTTTACTTTCTTCCTTCCTTCTTTCCTTCCTTCCGTCTCTTTCTGCTGCATAATATTCCAATAAACCATAGTTTTTTGATCCACTCATTTACTGATGGGCAGGCACCTAGTTGCTTCCAGCACTTGGCTATGGTAAATTGTGCTGCTATGAACACTGGGGTGCACAGGTTCTTCTGAATTGGTGTTTTAGGATTCTTAGGGTATAACCCCAGCAGTGGAATCGCTGGGTCAAAAGGCAGTTCCATTTTTAGCTTTCTGAGGAAATTCCAAACTGTTTTCCACACAACCTGCATTCCCACCAACAGTGCACTAGGGTTCGCTTTTCTCCACAACCTCACCAGCACTTGTTTGTTGATTTGTTTATGATGGCCATTCTGACCGGTGTGAAGTGGTATCTCATTGTGGTTTTAATTTGCATTTCTCTGACGGCTACTGATGCTGAGTATCCTTTCATGTTTCTGGGCCCTGTTTATGTTCTCCTTGGAGAAGTGTCTGTTCAGACCCTTGGCCCCTTTTTAAATTGGATTATTTGTCTTCCTGGAGTGGAGTCGTGTGAGTTCTCGCTATATTTTGGAGATCAAACGCCTGTCCGAGGTATCATTGGCAAATATATTTTCCCATATGGTTGGTTCCCTTTTAATTTTGCTGATGTCTTTAGCTGTGCAGAAGCTTCTTATTTTGATGAAGTCCTGTTTGTTTATTCTTTCATGTCCCTTGCTCTAGGGGACATATCGGTGAAAGTACTGCTGCATGGGATATTTCAGAGTTTCCTGCCTATGTTCTCCTCTAGAACTTTTATGGTGTCACGACTTATATTTAAGTCTTTTATCCACCTTGAGTTTATTTTTGTGTATGGTGTAAGTTGGGGGTAGAATTTCAATTTTTTGCATGTAGCTGTCCAGCTCTCCCAACACTATTTTTTTGAAGAGGCTATTTTTATTCCATTTTATGCTTCTGCCCCCTTTGTTGAATATTAATTGACCATAGAGACATGGGTTTATTTCCAGGCTCTCTATTCTGTTTCATTGATCTATGTGTCTGTACTTATGCCAGTACCAGATTGTTTTGATTACAGTGGCCTTATAATATAGTTTGATGTCAGGTACTGTGATCCCTCCTACTTTGTTTTTCTTTCTCAAAATTGCTGCAACTATTCAGAGTCATTTATGGTTCCATATAAATTTTTAAATGTTTGTTCTCTATCTGTGAAATACATCATTGGCATTTTAATAGGGATTGCATTGAATCTATAAATCTTTTTAAAAAGGTTAAAAATATTTTTAACTTTTTATGTAAATGTAAAAATATCTTTTAACATTTTACTTATTTTAGACAGAGGGGAAGGGATGGAGAAAAAGAGGGTGAGAAACATCAACGTGTGGCTGCCTCTTCTGCACCCCCTACTGGGGACCTGGCCTGTAACCCAGACATGTGCCCTACACTAGGAATCGAACCAGCGACCCTTTGGGTCGCAGGCTGGCGCTCAAGCCACTGAGCCACACCAGCCAGGACAACATATATTTTTTTCATTTAATATAGAACTTAGGCCCCTGAAATACTATGTAAAATACATCTATACCTTAAATGATACTTTAGATGCAATGAGAGGAAATCACTCTCTTACAATGGGTAAATCTGTTGGTTTTACAAATTAATTTCATGGTTAGGTAAATTCTTATAATTTTTTCTTAAAGTGACATATACCTATGAAGAAATTTGACTTTTCCCTTATTTATTCCAGTAAGTACAAAACAGAACCATCACTTACTGAGTGCCTCCACTGTGCCAAACATTTCACTAGGTATACCATGTATATAACCCCACTGAACTCTGAAAAAAGAGCTGAAGCACAAAAGAGATGAAATAATTTTTCTAACACTGAATAACTAAGCAGTGGCATAGACAGAATTCGAATAAAGGTCTAAAAGCCCATGCACTTTCTGTTGTTAAATGGACTTCTATAATTCTAAAATGTCAAACTATCTTTAGAAAGACGAAAACAAACATGAAAATAGTCTCTTATTTTTAGGTAGCACAGTTATTACAGTGTAAATCAAGTACTGACAAAAGTATCTAAAATTAAAAGATTACTAGAGATTCCTTGATTTTTATTCCAGTCATATTGGCAGTTTAGAAGAGGAAAAAAAGTGACATCAAAAGATGTTGGTGCTATTGACATTTTGGGCAAGGAAATTCTTTGTTGCAGGCATGTCCTGTGCGCTGTAGGATATTTAGCATTCCTGACCTTTTCCCAACAAATGCCAGCACCTACATCTCTAAATTATAATTTTCTTAAAATATAACTGAGTAATCAGAACTATAGATATGCTGATTAAAGTTTCTGTATGGCTGATATCAGAATTATTAAACAAACCTATGCACTTATGGTATTCTTGCTATTGCATCAAAGCAGGCCTACAACTTGGTCTACTAATTGTTTTTACGGTACCTCTGTGCCCAGGAAGATTATAATTATTTCTAAAAAATCTCATCACAGCCACCAACATATAAGAAGTACATCCAAAATATGTTGCTACAACAGCAATAGTCAAACACTTGCAAAAAATCAGTTAATGGTTAAGAAAGCCTAGTTCCTTCCAATCCCCTTAGAAGTCTTTTATTTTTCTGAAATGTCACATTTTACTATTAAGAAAAAAAATACCTGTGTCAGAAAGTTTCCAGGAAGATCATAGGTTTTACACAGTTCTGATATAGTTACTTGACCACTTTCTTGCAATTTATCATTTATCTCTTCTGCTAACCGATCCAAATAGTTTCTATTGGTAAAAACAAACAGAAACAACCAATTATCTTTTATGTTTAATTTCTGTTGCATTGCAGTAAGGTATGACCCAAAATTAATGAATAGGGTATCTTCAGGTAAAAACACTATTCATTACTCACATTCTGAAAATCTTTGTTTTTTTCTTTTTTAATCAATGCAGTTAAATATAAGTTTAATCAAATGAAGAATGTTAGGATTTCTTTATTAAACAATGGAAATTCTGCAGTCATTTTCATTAATATTATTTGAACAAATGTGCTTTCAGAGCTACAATCACATAGGAAAGATTGTAAAAATTATGTTCTGTGTTGCTTTAAGATAACAGAAAAAGAAATCTAAGTTTTTATTATTTTCAACTACTCCACACTAAGCACTTACTTTTTAGGTGCAATGATCCTTATATTGAAAATCGGCATTAAAAGAGTTCTATACAAAATACCAAATGGGCCACAACTGTTAAAAATTTAAATATAAAAAAAACAACTACATGACAAAGTGCTCTTAATTTTACTTACTCATCTATCAGTTGTCCCAACACTAGCTGAACATGTTTTTCTGATTTAACAATGTCACCAATTCTATTTTCAATATGAGTCAGATCCACATTAATTACCTAAAAAATAAATACAAATTCTATTTGTGACAAGTTCATATTGTTTCGTAAGTTCAAAATTATATATTTAGTACTACCTTTTAAAAAACTTAGTTGGAATTCAAATTTATTTGAAATATTGTACCAAGTCTTAGTCAAATAAAAAAGTAGAGGCTTATTGCTTATTTCCATTTCTGACCAATTACACTTATACTTTCAAGGAAAGTTTGTATTAAGAAGTTACATTTGCATATAATAGGCACCATTTTACATAAGATTCACCAGCTTTTTGTATACATGTACTTTGGTGGTGACATGTGCACTCACATTTTCTAAAAATATCTTCTATTTTTTAATTTTTTTTTATTATTTTGACATACTAAAAACAAGTGAAATGAAGCTAGTGATTTTTCTCCCAAAATTACATAAATCAAGTAATTACATAAAATGACAATTTTGAGTTTATTTGGTAGAGTAAACAATAACCAACTCAACTAAGAAAGAAATTATGATTATTAAATTGATTCACTATATTAGGACTTGTTAAATTGATTCAGTGCATTAGTGAGAAATATAATTATTTATTCACAAAAACTATACAAAATCTGATATCTGTATTAGTGAATACTTAAAACATTGAAAAAATTCATAGCATCAAAAAATTTATAAATCACAGGAATAATGTTATGAATTAAAAATTTACCTGTTGCAGATCAACAATGTTTACTCGACCTTTAAAGAAAAGACAACCATTTATTTTAAATTATGTGTAAGTACACACTAGCCAAAAAAACCTGTAAATTCTAACAGGCTTACATTTTAGACAGTAGAAGTCTTCCTTCTACAAAAGGCATAGAGCCACAATAACAGTCTTCAAATACAAACCATTAGCTGCTTAAGTCCTCATGGCTGAAGGCCTAGGCGACTCTTTATTTTCAAAGTATCATTTGTCATATTAAGCCAATTTTAAGCATCAACTTACACACAAGTTGATCAGATCTATGGAGGCTATTTATCTCCCTTCACAATTTATCTGCTGTCACCAAAGATATATTGACAACTAAATTCAGATGAATTGTTTTTTCAGTTATTTAAAATTGGTAGACTTCTACCTATTAGAGAAAGAAAATCTGTTAAGTGCTCCAAATTATAGCTAATGTTTTATTAGCACTATGCAGAAAAATAAAGGAAACATACACCAAGGGTATATCTGGTAACATCTAATGAAGAGTTGATTTCTAACTGTTTCTATTTCAATCAGTGCCCAAATTGGCTCTGTAGTTTGTTCAAATTTTTAAAAGACAAAGGAAAACAAAAACTTTATGTGTGTGCTTGTAATAGCACCTCCTACAGTGTAACAGGTATAGTATCATATTAAATTGTTTCCTAATTTCCAACTACTTAAAGGTAAGTTTAAAAAACGGAGGATGATAGCACAACTTTGATTTTCAACAATCTATAATCCTATAAAATCTCTGTTCCTCCCTCACAATTACCATTCTAATAGCCAACTAAGTACCATCCTGAGTTAGGAAATAAATTCATGAACTGCGAAGAGAAACAACGGATTAACTCACAGACATATAACTCAAAATAATGCTGTTTTGTAAAATGACACTATCTGACTTCATTTAAATGATATGATTATGTTTACCTGAACCAGTTAAAAATATTGAGGGTGTTACCATATTGACAATTGAGACGGGTGTCTTAAAATCTCCAAATAATTTATCATTCATTTTTTCCCTTCCAAAGAACCAGAAAAAACAAAAAACTAAGGAATTACTTACCACCGCGGATATGTAGCTCATCTCTCATTTCTTTACTAATTTGGGCTGGAGTAACATATTCCTTCCCATCAAGTGTGTGAACTACTTCTAGCTGTTTTTGAGCGATCAATTTATTCACAATCTCAATGCAGTTTCTCTCTGACAACCTGAGGGAAACAGAAGTTTTGAAAATTCACGATACATTTGGTGTTCAATAAAATTAACAGACTGTATTTAAAATAAGTTTTGGTAAAAAGTCACTAGGTTCTATACTACAAAATCTCTGTCTTTTATTACCTTAACAACACTACTTCGATGAGTTAAAAAAACACGGGAGTAAAGCAGGTTCACATGCACTTAATCGGGTACAAAACGTTCTATTATGGATTTCGAGTTTGCTCTCCCGTAGGCCTGCTTCTAATGTTCAAATCTGAATAGAAAACTGAGGACATATAATTTAGGTAAACAAAAACTCTGGCCTACTTTCATACAATTGGTCTGTAGGAAGATGTGGCCTAGGAAAGCCAGAGCTGCAATCGTTAGTTTACCCGAGCACTTAAGCACCTTCTGTGCCTTAGTTTGCTCGGTGCTCCTAAAGACAGCATCAAGAGATGAAGGTCTTCAGCCGCAGAAGCAGCAAAAACATCGAAGGCAAGAAGAAGACCACGGTTAAACAAGGACTCTATTAGCATTACGTGTTCCATTATAAAGGCGAGTTAGGGTGCTTTGGGCATATCCCCCTAAATTAGTGGCCTTGTAGGATATGTCAGCGTCCAGGAGTCCCTAAAAATTACAGATGGGATCACGGGTCTGGCCTAGCACATTGGGTGAACAAAAAATGTTTTAAGAGTCAACACAGTATTTACAAAGTACTGCACTGGGGATTACCCTCTCACGCTCATTCTAGATAAGAAAGTGTACAAAACGTAATGATGCCACAGCGATTTCACGACTGGTAAGGATTAACGGGGACACTGAAAGCTCTAAATGACCAGCCTAGGCCGTCGTGGGGCAAGGGGCGGGCGGGGCCCGCTAGCACCAGGTTGGGGTTTGGATTGGGGACTCTGGGGCACAGTAGGTTTCGGGCCTTCTGGCCAAGGATTATACTTGGACCCCCAGTGCCGGCTCCGGGAGGAGGAGTGAGGCGGGGGCGGTGACCGGCTGGCAAAGTCCGGAGTCAAAGGCATGGGACCAGAGGCCTCAGATCTTGGGAGCGGCCACCCAGGGGATATTTTGGAAGCCACAGTGGAGAGGGAGGGTCGGGCACCTCTGAGCGGCCTCGGTGAACTGCGCCCGCTGGAAGTCAGCCGCCAACCGCCTGATCTCTTCCCAGGCATCCGCCATCACGGCCCTACTGGTTTAGGCGCCGCGAACGGCAGACACGTCAGCCCAAAGGAGCCGAGGAGAAACGGGCCGCGCGGAGGGACAAGACACTCCTTCCGCAACGTAATTACCAAACGCGCGCACGCAGCGCCGGCTGCGCTAGGAGGGGACTGGCCCGAAGAGCCGCAGCCCCTCCTACCGAACGCAGTAGGTGTGTTCTTCAGGGTACCAGCGGGCGTGGTTTGCAGGGAGCTGGGCCTTGAAGTCTCTACAAAGCTGCGGGTGGGATGCGGGAAGGGCCTCGGTAATAAGTGTTACTTTAGTCTCTGTTTGCATTATCCTCAGTGCTTCAGTTCAGTGATAAACAAATTAACCACTTTTCTTTTTCTTCTGCCCTCTATTTGCTTTTGGGGGGAGGAGGTAAGGAGATGTGCCTTTACCTATAATAAACATCCCCTCTACAGGGAATTATATTTAATTTTTACGTGGGCTCGAAGAAGATGTTTTTAGGAGACAGGTGGGAGACACTACAGAAGGTAATTTGTTTGCACAGGGGTGACTCATTCGGATACCATAAAGACTGGGAATTGCTTTCTTGTATTCTGGAGCCTTTCATATTTCTCTTATGGGGTTGATTAAACCCGTCAAATAATAAAGAAACATAATCATATGGTAATAAGTGTATATGGCTATGGATGAAATGGAGGAAACAAGGAGCATGTTTATTGTGCTTTCCCCTGCATTGAAATCAGTAAGAAGTAGATATTTACTCCGCAGTACCTTTCTCATTCTCTTTTCCTTTAAACCTCACTCTACACTTAAAAAATTCCTTTTAACCGCATGATTTACAGAGTTTGTGAAAAGGGGCTATTTCAGGTTCTTTTCCATCTCAATATCTTAGTCTGGGTGACTCAAATCCAATACCACAAATGTATTTTTCTAGTAAAGTTTCCCAGCTGTATTTAAAATGCAGAGAACACAACCATATAACATGTCTCTAAGCACTGCAACCACACAGCCACACACTGTCAATGTGATTGCCAACCAAGGGAGGGAACAACGATCAGACGTCAAGTCAAAGGGGTAAGTAACTTGGATGATTGTAGGTGGTGCAGTTCAAAGGGCACTAAGCTTAAGAACAAGCAGAAATGTTCATTCACATAACTCATGTTTTCTGATTCTCAGATGCCATGGAGTGCAGGCAGTGGATAAGGCAGACATGATCTTACCATAAACAACTTATAACTCTAATGAAGCAGATTTTTAAAAAAGTACTTCATATAAAGTATAAAATGTATAAAAATAGGGGACTATGATGTACTATGTGACAAATTAACATCCAAACTTCTTAATTATCATGTAAGACTCAGAATCAGCTGAGATTCTACTTTCTGGCAGCATCCTCTGCTGCTGCTCAATACACATAGAATAGCTTGCTGAGTTCTAGACACACGAAGCCCCTAAGGACTCCATATCATTTTGGAAATAACTATTGTCTTCCTCAATCCACCCTGCCCCCATTTGGTTTGTAACTTATTTTTCCATGATGTCCTGACTTAAACAAAACTCTTCAATAAAACCTTTTAAAGTTCACATAGTTATTCTATATGCTTTGAATCCACAATTCTTCATTCAGATATCTCTAATAGCAAGCAAAAATATGTTGTAATTTTTATATTTTAGGAGCTCCTAAATAGCTCCTAAGTGCTCCTGAGCATGTAGTAAGACTAGTACATGGCTCCTGAATACTCCAGAAATGTTAAATGAGTAAGTTAGTGTAAATGTTATGGTGTAATACTAAACTTTGATACAGTAGTGACATTTACATTTATTCCTTAAAGAGAAAAAATTCCTAAAAAAGGAATAATCATAGTTGCACTTTCTATAGAACTAGACTTGTGCTATCTAAAATGGTAGCCATTAACCAAAGGAAGGTATTTAAATTTAATTAAAATTAAATGAAATTATACCAGTGATGAATAAGTGGAATTTTAAATGGAAAGCACTATATCATTTACATTAGTACTCCTCAAAATGAAACACTTAGGTATAAGTCTAACAAAATATGTACAAAATCTATATGAGGGAAATTGTAAACTCTGATGAACAAATCAAAGAAGAAATAAATGGAGAAATATACCATGTTCATGGATGGGAAGACTCAAGTCAGGTTGTCAGTTCTTCTCAACTTGATATATAGATTCATGGCAATCCCAATCAAAATCTGAACAAGTTATTTTGTGTATATGAATAAACTGATTCTAAAGTTTATATAGAGTGAAAAAAGATCCATAATAGTCAACACAATATTGAAGGAGAGGAACAAAGATGGAGGACTGACACTGCCTGACTTTAACACTTACTATAAAGCTACAATAATCATGACAGTTTGATATTGGTAAAAGACTAGATAAAGAGATTGATGGGACAGAATAATAACCCCAAAATAGACCCATGTAAATGTGGCCAACTAATCTTTGGTAAAGAAATAAAGGCAACACAGTGGAGCAAAGAAAGGCTTTTCAACAAATGCTACTGGAACAACTGGACATTCATGTGCAAAAACAAAGGATCTGGACACAGAGCTTAATGCAATTTATTAACATTAACTGAAAATGAATTAAAGATTTAAACATAAGGTGCAACTATAAAACTCCTAGAACAGGAGAAAATTTAGACGACTTCAGGTATGTCAACAACTTTAGAGATACAATACCAAAGGCACAACATGTGAAATAATTCATAAGGTGGACTTCACTAAAATTAAAAACTGCTTTGCAAAAGTAAATGTCAAGAGAACAGAAGATAAGCTACAGACTGGGGGGAAATATTTGCAAAAGACATGTGATAAGGGACTGTTATCCAAAATGTACAGCAAGAATGAGCCGTAATGTAAACTATGGACTTTGGGTGATTATGATGAATTAATGTAGATTCAACAATTGTAACATATGTGCCATTTTGGTGTGGGATGTTAATGGGATGGCTGTACATGTGTGGAGGCAGAGAGTAAATGGGAGATCTCTGTACCTTGTTTTCAATTTTGCTGTGAACATAAAGCTAATCTATAAAAAAAATTAAAAATTAAATGAAATTTAGAAGTTAGTCCTTCAGTCATGACAGCCACCTTTCAAGTACTCAGTAGCCACATGAGGCTCATGGCTGTCTTATGAAATAGTATAGAAAAACTATTTTCATTTTCACCAAAAGATCTATTGTACAGCTCTGGTTTATACCTCTGATAAGGGCATACATTTATTCAGGCTCTCCACCTAGCAACCGTATATCCCAACTACAGTTTTCCTTATTTTAAATGCGGAATAAGAATTTGAATGGAAAGGATTTAGTGTTCAATGACACTTGATACAGATTAGAAGAGCTTTAAGTAATATATGTATAACATAATGATAAAAAGCCAAGCGACCTTTGAATGAGATCTAAGAGATTCAGCTCTGGTGGGGAATGGGGAAGGGGATTGAGGGAGAGGAGAGATGCGGCAAAAAAGAAAAAAAAAAGAGTAAGAACTCAGTTTGGAAAGTGCAAGGGGGAGAGGTGTGGGTGGAGGTACAAGAGGGTATAATGGGGATAAATGGTAATGAAAAAATATAATAAAAACAAAAAGTAAGCTTGGGCAGACTTGGAAAATGGAACACCAATTCTATAGAAAATTTTCTACATCTTGTGTCTGTAAATTTATGTCAAATTTTGACGTATATTATGTGGGCAAGACTCATACTCCTTTTAGCTACACTAGGTCCATGATTGTGACACCATCCTCAGATATAGCTTAAATTCAAAGTTAAATAAAGTACTCTAACACGATTAATGTGTATTGATGGTTTCCACTGATATGTGATCCTGTAAAGCTCCTCCAAGATAAACTTTTCTTTTAATGAAACTTGATGCATTTTCTCTTGTTTACCAGGAAACTTAAACAATAAAATTGAAGTCCTTTTTCCAACTCAACTAGGAAAATAAACTAACAATTGTAAGATGGGTATTGTCAAACAAGTAGTCCCTCTCCCCTGCATCTGCAGTTTTGCTTTCTGTGGTTTCAGTTACAGAGGTCAATTGCAGACCAAAAATATTAAATGGGAAATTCCAGAAATAAATGATTTATAAATTTTAAATTGTGCATCATTATGAATAAGAAACATGATGAACTCACGTTTGCCCACTCTGTCATGAGGTGGAGTTTGGGTCATTTAGTAGCCTTCTAGGGTATATGATGGACTGTTGTGGTATCACAGTGCTTGTGTTCAAGTCAACTTGTTTCACTTATTAATGCCCCAAAGCACGAAAGTTGTTGTGCTGCAATTCAGATATGCTAAAGAGAAACTGTAAAGTTCTTCCTTTAAATGAAAAAGTGAGAGTTCTCAACTTAAAATGGAAAAAAAAATATGCTGAGTTTGCTAACATCTAAGGTAAGAAAGAATCCTTCATCCATGACATTGTGAAAAAGGAAAAAGAAATTCATGCTAGTTTTGTTGTCTTACCTCAAACTGCAAAGGTTACAGCCACAGCATGATAAGAATTTGGTTAAAAGGCATTACATTTGTGGTTGGAAAACATGAACACAAAATGTGTTCTGATCGATGGCAATGTGTTGTGACAGAAAACACTGAGCCTACACTAGGACTTCGGTAAAGGAGTCTCTGAAACCGATGACAGTAAACTATTTACTGCAAGTAAGGGATGGTTACACAGATTCAGGAACAGGTTTGGACTGAAAAATATAAAAATTACTGGAGAAGCTACATCTGTTGATGAAGAAGTTGGTGCCATGTTCCTAACCGAGTTGAAGAAGTTGATTAAGGAGAAAAGATACCATCCAAAGAAGTCTTCAGTTGCCATGAAACCAAGCTCTTTCAGAAGAAGATGCCCAACAGAACCTACATTCATAAGTGCACAGGAGGCACCAGGGCATAAAACATGGAAGGACAGATCAACTCTGATACTATGTGGCAATGCTACAGGGCATGTATTAAAGCCATGTGTAGTGTACAGAATGAAGAACGTATGTGCTCTCAAAAATAAAAAAATTAGCTGCCTGTGTTCTGGCACCATAGTCAGAAAGCATGGATGGCAGATGTCTT